TACAGCCGTTGCTGTAGGGTTCCTACCTCTGCTATAGGAAAACGTCTACTCAGCCAATGTGAGATGGAGTGGAGTGGGTGAGTTTAGTTTGACGGCACCGCTTTTAAATACTCCAGCAATATCATGGGCAGGGGACACGAGAAATGGGCTTCACACAGCGTGCCCACGTGGGGAATCGAACCGGGTCTTTTGGCGTGACGGAACCTCTCTTTCACCACTAGGCTACCCGCTGCGCGGCTCATCAGTGACGCTGTTACACATACATATCATTGCAGAGATTCATGGAATGATAAATTCAGTACTAAATGAATCGCCAGTGACAATCAGAGCCACCAGTTGAACATTTTTTACAGAATACATTCAAAGGAACTTTACAAAGTGTAAGAATTACAGCCATACAAATGATAGTTGCTAACTGATATATTTTATTGCCCAATCAATTCTATTATTTTTGAATATGTATCTTAGAGATCTGGATTATGTTTAACAGAAGTAATCAGCATTTCCTAAATAAAATATAATTGGCCTGTGTCTTTGGTTGGCAACATCATCATCAGCAATTAATCCAAATTTTCACACACAAAGTCAAACAATCGCTATCCTTCCTCTTACTGCGTATATCAATTTCTGAGTCTTTTTGGAGTTTATACGAATAAATTGCTAAACCACCCACAACTTAGAAATGTCTCTCCCAACACCGCACATCATTCATTATTGAATAAAAAGCGATTTTTTACAATAATGTTTTTTCTCCATTAACATGCTACTCAGAAAATGGTATCATTCAACCCTATTCTGCGCATTTCCGCTTATTTATTGAGACGATACTTTAAGGCTGAGTTGTCTGTCAGAAAGAACTAAACCTGACCACAATATCAGCTCTGCTGAAACATTATCATATTCCACTGAACTCATAGAAGTTTTATTTTGAATATATTAAGATATAACTCAAAGATCAAAGTTGGAATAAAGGCGAACAAATCATTTTCTGATCATACCTTAATCTCATGAAGCTCTGTCATGGCTAAGATCACTATCTCATTCAAACTATCTCATCTGTTGACCTGACTATATACAGACAGTAACAGTTACTGACTGTAAATAACCTTAATGCATTATGGGGTATTAAACACTCACCCTCCCTCACACCTTACTGACGAAACAAGGGATAAGTTGGACAGGCGCTGAGAACACGTTTTGAGTAGTGGGCGTTGTACGGCAATGAGAAAACCATTTTGGTTTTGGCGAAGATGCATTGCAGATGTATGAGGCTGAGACGGTAGAAACTGATTCCGCGCGTAGCTTTTAAATGAATCACCCAATACTGAGCATATACATTGATTGTAACTCATATATCACATATAGTAGTCACCAACACTGGGACCAGAGACTTTAATCACAAATACCAATCAGCAATTTAGATAATACAGAAAACTGCTGATCAAGCGAACCACAGGGTGACAGCTTAATGTTATGCCTTCACCGGTAATGACGAGTTCTTTACATTACATGCTTTCTGGTGTGAAAAGGATGACGAAAAATAGGCATGCTATTGCAACTTTGCGGCAAATGATATCCAGATCACCATAACCAGATTGGTTTGTTCGTTTGTTGTTTAATGCCGCAGTTCTCAGCAATATTCCAGTTATATGGCCACGCCTTTGCTCATAAGAGACTCGCGTGGTCAACATCATGAACATCGATCTACGCAACTGGAAACCGATGAGCGTAGTCATCCAATCGGGAATCTGACCCAGCCCTGACCACCCAATCCATCAGGTTGCGCCTCGTCGACCGAGCATTGGGTTTACTGAAGAACGGTTCTAACCAGGATCTCTACTGATTTGGTGAGCCAAAGAAAGGCATCATGACTATGGGTGCTACACAAACACGTTTGCACCCGGATACACGCATGTAATTTAGTGATAAGTAAAGACGGATGTCATGGATGACGTAAGACAGGCTCGAGCAAATCGGCAAACCCTCGACGCGCTCCGGGCATTTTTCCGCACACTAATGCCTTGTCAAATGGCATTCGGCTTGGCGGCTTTTCAATGAACGCAGTCAGCAGGATGCTGAGGATGCCCACCACGTGGTATCCGGGAGACGGTAACAGCGACCACAGCATCATCTAGAACAGTCCTGCCGTTGTAGCAAGGGGCAGGCACAGCTGGAAACCAAGACGCAGACTAAGGGAAACTACAACCTTACTTCAACACCGTAACAATTGCCGCAGTTTCTCAGTACCAAATCCCACAACGGCGGTGTCAGCGTATACACAGCACGACAGGAAGTCAAGGGTCTAACCATATGAATCATGTTGCTTTGCTTCAATATCCATATCATTCAATATGTGCAGATTATTAGCTGAGGCATGTTTTCATGTTGTATACAGCAATAAATATTTCCTATGGCGGCACCTGTACACCGAGGTGGGTTGAACGACGAACGTTCTTGTTAGATAAAGAAGGGAGTTTGGCAGAAGAAATACACAGGACTCATATTTTCCAATATATATTGTATACACCTTCAGAATGTTTATATAATGTGTGTGTTTGTGTGATATTCTAATGTGTGTGTGTGTGTGTGTGTGTGTGTATACATATATATGTATATATATGCCACCATCTATACACATCTCTCTATATATAGAGAGAGAGGGAGGAGGGAGGTGATAGGTATATCATGTACAGTAAACGAACACGCGTATATCAAACGGGCATATCGGCTGGTCAGGACATATTTGTCTTGATGCTGTTTTCTTTCACAGCTGTTATTTGTGTTGAGGTGTTCGGTGTCTTTGTTGAGGATTGTTTTTGTTTTGTTTGTTTTGGGTTTTGGGAAGTGTTTTTGTTTTTTGTTGGGTTATCTTTTTGGGGAGGGTAGGGACATTGGTTTTGGGGGTTGTTTTTTATTGTTGTTTTATTGTTTCTCCCCACATTGTTCCAGTGTACCACTGACTGGGTGTTTGATGAAGTGAGTGAGTGAGTTTAGTTTTACACCATACGCAGCAATATTCCAGCTATATGGAGGCGGTCTGTAAATAATTGAGTCTGGACAAGACAATCCTGTGGTCAACAGTATGAGCATCAATCTACGCAATTGGGTTTTTGATGAAGACAGAGGTTATTAGACATGTGGTTGTGCATGAATGTATGGCCATTCTCCCTTATCCGCCGATCTTGATTACGTTTGCAAGTGAAAGACAAAAAGGAGGTGAACATTATTTGATACAAACTCTGTTAAACTTATACCTTTTACGGGTAATGGTTCACAGCAAAGAGGGCCGGTGGGGTAGCCTAGTAGTTAAAGCGATAGTTCTTCATGCCAAAGGCCTGGGTTCGATTCCCCACATGGATACAATGTGCGGAGCCCATTTCTAGTGCCCCCAGCTGTGTTATTGCTGAAATATCGCTAAAAGCTGCGTAAAACTAAACTCACTCATAGTGAAGAAATTTTCATTCAGATCTCTCAACACTTTGTCAACTAGAACTATTATTAGAACTATTATTTAGAGATTTATGTGGCACTCAAAACTTGATCTGAAACTTTGACAACATGTAGTGCCAGTTTAACATATAGTTGACGTTCCCTTGTCGTACGTCACATGGCGGTAATGAATACAGGTTAATGTTCGAGCCGTCATAACATTTGATGTATGCGAATTTATGTGGCGCCTACCAAGGTCCACTTCCAAAAAGTGAAAGTAGAGCAAAGGAGATCATTACTCCCACAGGGAAGTATTTGTAACGGGAACACTTACTGGTTTCCTTGATATTCATTTGAGATCGGTTTACCGTTACCTTCGGAAGCGTTTTAGGGCTATGCATTTTTCCTTTTTTTCTTGAATTTCAAGATAATGTGGTGTTATCATACGACATGAAAATATATTTGAAGTTAATTATCTTGAAATTCCAACATCGTATCTTGAAATTTCAAATTGGTATCTTGAAATTTCAAGAATCTTTTTTCTTTAAAACTCATGACCCGAAAAGGCTTCCGTACTACGTATTTTTTCTTAACATTTTAAGATACTAAGCTACGGTGGAATAATGGGGCCATCTGTTTTGTTGTTTATTCTTCAAATATCAAGTAGTAACTTGAAATTTCAAGATGTCTTAAAATCAAGTTTATAGGTTGAAATTCAAGTTAATAAGTTGAAATTTCAAGATATTTTACTTGAAATTTCAACTTAATGATCGCGTAAAAATCTTGAAATTTCAAGATCTTACGTTAGTGGTATGTTAAAATTTCAACTTATTAACTTGAAATTTCAACATAGCATCTTAAAAATTTCAACATAGCATCTTGAAATTTCAACATATTAACTTTGACATTTCAACATAGCATCTTGAAATTTCGACATAGAATCTTAAAATTTCAAGATTTGTTACGCGATCATTTAGTTGAAATTTCAAATAAAATATCTTGAAATTTCAACTTAATAACTTGAAATTTTAAGATCGACATCTTGAAATCTCAACTTACAATCTTGAAATTTCAAGTTACTACTTGAAATTTCAAGAAAAAACAAAAACGATGGCCATATTATGCCACCGTACTAAGCTGAAATGTAAAGATATTAATTTGAAATTTAAACTTAGAGTCTTGAAATTTCAACTAAGCATCTTGAAATTTCAAGAAAAAAGAAAGAAAAAAAAACACGTCCCTAAATAGCTTCCGTAGTTTCCAGAAATACGTGGTTTTGTTTTTTTATTATATTTGACATCAACATATTTAATACGAATCACTTCAACATGTATAGTAATGGTACATGTATTCGGGGAGCACCCTTGGGCCGCATGTGGCACTGCAATCCGCATTACAGAGTTGTGTCCCTTAGGCGTACTGGATACTGTGTTCATCGAATCCCAGACTCGCCATGGCACCATCTCCGTACTCGTTGTTTCGGGATAGTAACAGTCTGAGACAGGCTTATTAGCTTTCCTCCGACAGGACGATGACACTCACTCACTCACTCACTCACTCACTCATATTTCAGGTGCAGCTAACGTTCCTGCGGTGTCTCTGTCCCAGAAAAGACCGGTGTGTGGTCCCGTGTGCGCCATCTTCTGTAAATGTGGGAATATCCCTGATGAGAGAGGATGTCCAACGTGTCGTTGTCGACCATGTGGTAAGCTCCTATAACCGTAACCTCCGTCAGATGTTCCTGCTGCTAGGATATCTGGATCTATCCTGTTGCACCAGTTCAAAGGTGCAAATAATTGCTCAGTTTATTTTGTCATTAAAGTATCATTTCTGGGTGGTATTTGTAACTACAGACTGTTCCCAGTCTGTGCTTATAGGGCCTGTAAGTCTCGCGATGCGCTACTTCCGGCACTAAGCTGGTTCCTGGCTCCCTTTGCTCGCGCGATATGCGAGACGGGGCCCAGCTTACTTCCGTTACCAGATTTCCAGTGATAAGTGTAAATTCAAGAACCAGTACCAAATTGTGCCAAATATGAATTTACAACACCGGACCAAGTGTACTACCATGCTTGGCTGTGACAGCTGTTGACAGTCGGAATAGTTGGCTAACTTGGGGATGGTTAGATCGGAAATTTGTCATTCCTGCAAGGATTATCGGTTCCTTACTGTCAAAAACCGACAACCATGAGGCCATTCGGAAAGGTATGAAACATTGTTTGTCACCGGAAGTACTGAGGTCTCGCGAAGTGCCGTGACCTACTTACGGGCCCTATTTCCAGTTCGTGTTTATTGGTGTGTCTATCAACTATTACAGGACCGTCAATCTGCCCCCTTACGTCGCTGTGCTCGACCAATCGAATGTCGTTTTGGGGTAAAGAAAGTGAACGGTTGCCCCACGTGTGAGTGTAATCCTGGTGAGTGTGTTTTCTGACAACCAGACATGATTTTATGATTTCTGAAATAATCACTCGTGTTCGATATTGTGATATGCTCATCTGCTTTAAACAAAGAAGCATTTAATTATCTAAACGTGATATTCATTTTCGATATTATGGATAATACCGATGCTACAGATGCTCTTTCATTCCTCTTCTGTTCAAATCCTTCGCATTGTCATTCCTATTCCCCTTCCCATCTTCTTCTGCAACAGTACCCCCCCCTTCCCATCCTCTCCACCCGTACCCCCCTTTTCCCATCTTCCCCAACCGTATTCCCCCTTCCCACCTTTTCCATCCGTACCCCATCTCTTCCCATCCTCCCCATCCGTACCCCATATCTTCCCATCCTCCCTAACCGTACCCCATCTCTTCTTGTTCTACAGGATATATTCTCCTCCTTGCCTTGTTCTACAGAATATATTTCTCCTCCTTGCATTGTTCTACACAATATATGTTCTCCTCCTTGCATTGATCTGCAGAATATATTCTCCTCCTTGCATTGTTCTACAGAATATATTCCCCTCCTTGCATTGTTCTGCAGTATATATTTCTCCTCCTTGCATTGTTCTACAGAATATATTTGTCCTCCTTGCATTGTTCTACAGAATATATTTCTCATCCTTGCATTATTCTACAGAATATATTTCTCCTCATTGCATTGTTCTACAGTATATATTTCTCATCCTTGCATTGTTGTACAGAATATATTTCTCCTCATTGCATTGTTCTACAGAATATATTTCTCCTCGTTGCTTGTTCTACAGTATATATTTCTCCTTGTAGCGTTCTACAGAATATATTTCTCCTCATTGCATTGTTCTACAGTATATATTTCTCCTCCTTGCATTGTTCTGCAGTATATATTTCTCCTCCTTGTATTGTTCTACAGAATATATTTCTCCTTCTTGCATTCTTCTGCAGTATATATTTCTCCTTCTTGCATTGTTCTACAGAATATATTTCTCCTCCTTGCATTGTTCTACAGAATATATAATCTCCTCCTTGCATTGTTCTACAGAATATATTCTCCTCCTTGCGTTGTTCTACAGTATATATTTCTCCTCCTTGCATTGTTCTACAGAATATATTCTCCTCCTTGCATTGTTCTACAGAATATATTTCTCCTCCTTGCATTGTTCTACAGTATATATTTCTCCTCCTTGCATTGTTCTACAGTCATATATTTCTCCTCCTTGCATTGTTCTACAGAATATATTTCTCCTCCTTGCATTGTTCTACAGAATATATTTCTCATCCTTGCATTGTTCTACAGAATATATTTCTCCTCCTTGCATTGTTCTACAGAATATATTTCTCCTCCTTGCATTGTTCTACAGTATATATTTCTCCTTGTAGCTTGCAGAATATGTTTCTCCTCATTGCATTGTTCTATATATATTTCTCCTCCTTGCATTGTTCTGCAGTATATATATTTCTCCTCCTTGTATTGTTCTACAGAATATATTTCTCCTCCTTGCATTGTTCTACAGTATATATTTCTCCTCCTTGCATTGTTCTACAGAATATATTTCTCCTCCTTGCATTGTTCTACAGAATATATTCTCCTCCTTGCATTGTTCTACAGAATATATTCTCCTCCTTGCATTGTTCTACAGTATATGTTTCTCCTCCTTTGCATTGTTCTACAGAATATCTTTCTCCTCCTTGCATTGTTCTACCATATATATTTCTCCTCCTTACATTGTTCTACAGAATATATTTCTCCTCCTTGCATTGTTCTTACAGTATATATTTCTCCTCCTTGCATTGTTCTACAGAATATATTCTCCTCCTTGCATTGTTCTACAGTGTATATTTCTCCTCCTTGCATTCTTCTACAGAATATGTTTCTCCTCCTTGCATTGTTCTACAAATGTATCTTTTCTCCTTGTATTGTTCTACAGTATATATTTCTCCTCCTTGCATTGTTCTACAGAATGTATATTTCTCCTCCTTGCATTGTTCTACAGTATATATTTCTCCTCCAGGCCCTGCCGATTGCTCCAAGGTCGGGTGCCCACCAGATGTCGCTATCAAGTGTGTATGGCGTCAAGATAATAAATGGCTGTCCTTCGTGTTCCTGCAACTCTGGTAAGGAAATTGTTCGAAAGATCGTGGTTGGTTGGTTGTCTTTTAATTCTCAGCAATACATGGCGGCGGTCTGTAAATAATCGAACTTGTGATCAAACAATCAGTGAACATCGGTTGGGATGCCCTCCTTCCCATGTGTCATCAAACTCAAGTCAGTGACTCTGACCACCCGATCCCGTTAGGGTGCCTTTTACGAGAAGCTTGGGTTGCTGACGACCAATTCTAACCTGGATCTTCACGGGTTCGAAAGATCGAAAGGTCCTGAATGATAATATAAGAAATATCCTCACAGACTCTTAGCTTCAAATCTAGTTCAACAAGTTCAGCAATGTCTTCATGTCATCAAGAACTCAGATCTTTTATTTAACCCATCTGTGATATCATCATTTTATGTAGCATTTTACTGAAAAATTGTAAAGTCGCTGGGGTCAAATTTGAATTTCATCAATATATGAGCGGCAAATCGTTAATCAAGCTGTCAAAATTATGTCGGACCCAACTCACTACTTCAATACGGAATACAACCTCCTCCCGTCAGGCCGCCGCTACAAAGTTCCAGTTGTGAAAACTAAGAGAACCTTTATTCCATGTACCATATCTCTCTTAAACAAATGTGAATTCACGAATTTATGTAAAGTAACGTACTTTATCTCTCTGATGTGTCAGTAGCTGTATTGGCGGAATTATTCTATTCTATTCTATTCTATTCTATTCTATTCTATTCTATTCTATTATTCTATTCTATTGTATTCTATTCTATTCTATTCTATTCTATTCTATTCTATTCTATTCTATTCTATTCTATTCTCACTACGATTGTAGGGCCAGTGGCGTTCTTACAACCGTTTACATTCAATTTCTTAAAGCCGAATCTAAATGATTATTGTGAATCCTTCTATCTGCAGTGGAAGCTGTCAAAACCGGCAGTTGTCCAATCCGGCAAGTTGTCAACAGCAGCATAAAAACTCAGTCCCGTCCATGACTAGTACATTTATGATCATTTAATAGCTGTGCAATCCGACAGCTGTCAATGACAGTTCTCGGCATGAAATGAGCCCCCTGAATGTGTGTTTATACAGTAACCAGCGCTGTCTAATTCGGTGCGTGGCGATATTGCTATATTACATGTGATGTCCGATTGCACTCACACCTGGGTAGCCTAGTGGTCAAAGCGTTCGCTCGTCACGCCGAACACCCGGGTTCGATTCCCCTCATGGTTACAATATGTGAAGTCCATTTCTGATGTCTCCCGCCGTGATATTGCTTAAATATAGCTAAAGGTGCCACTCACCCACTCACCAACACTCACTCACTCACTCACTCTAACATTGCAGGTCCAGTGTGTCCAAAGCGCCGTTGTTTCAGGATATGCAAGAACGGCTTTAAAATGGTCAATGGTTGTCAATCATGTCTGTGCAATCCAGGTATGTTTTAATTTAAACAGTGTGGCGGTGGGACATCCTCGTCATGCCGAAGACCCTGGTTCGATTTCCACATAGGTACAATGTCTCAAGCCCATTTCTGGTGTCCACCGTCGTGATTTTGCTGGAACATTGATAAAAGCGGCTTAAAACGAAGCTCACTCACTCATTCTTTGTGCATCGGTAGCGCGACTACTCCCAAGTCCTAAGCAATGCTCCCATCTGAGGTGTTCACAGACAGTCAAATGCGCCTGAAAGTATCGTTCGTGTCGGTGTAAGGGTCTACAATTCGCATAGTAGAGTTGTGTCCCTTTGACTTGCCAAGACCCTATGCTCGTGGGTTCGAAAGAACTAGTACGTCTTGATCACAGGGGCTTGTAACGCTAAAAACTGCCATCAAGGTATGTGCTGTCAAGATTTTCGTTCTCTATGTCTTATTTTGTAGGTAAATATATTGGCTTGAAATGTGTGCATACTTTAAATGGGACAGATACAGTGAACATTGTTGAATTCGCCCTGAAACGAACTTGGTGTGTTGACCTCGTTACATCCCTTTCCTTTTATATAGTGATAAGACCCCGTTAGTGACAGCACATACCTTGATGGCGGTTTTTAGCGTTACAAGCCCCTGTGATCTTGAATTTATCATAAAGACTTATGAAAGCGTTGTTGAACCCTACATACTCACTCACCGGTTACTCTTCTACTTGTAGGTCCAAGTACCTGCCCCAAGATACGCTGCTCCCTGCTCCAGGCGTGCCGTTTTGGCGTGCAGAAAGTAAACGGTTGCCCCTACGTGTTCTTGTAGAGCCTCGGTTGTGTCCCCGTTGGTCCAGCAACCAATGCAGGAGGCGCTGTCTGTCAGGGTATACCATCCGTAGAGGAGGTCGCAGAGGATGTCCGACATGCAGTTGCAGACGAAGGTCACGTTTTGGTGAGTATTGCACTTTGTTCACGTACACGAGATGCTTTAAACATAACGTTCTTGTAAGGCATTTAAAAATTGGGTGAACATGAATACATGACAAGTTTCATGGATAACAGTTTCTTTATATATTTTTTACAACGTTTCAGAGCAAACTCTTGCTCCTTCATCAGGTGAATGCTGAGTCAGTGACTATACATTCTCCCACCATGCGTTGTGTTTTATCTACACGTGTATCTATACCATTAAAAAAAGTAGGGGATATTCCATTTTGCGAGCATTACACGAGCCAATGCCAATGCATATGGGTAAAAGTAATATATATCCATACAGATGAAACTCTTCCAAAGAAATGGAATAAATTGTCACATTTTCCCTTGATTTCTCTTCATCATCTGTTTCCTCCTTGGTTTTATCATTTGTAGTTTATCAATCTTGTAAATCCAGTATCCCCCTACGTTTTAAATGGTATGTATTCACTCCGTGGGCGAAGCGTGGAGACATTTCAGAATGTAGTTGTTGACAGCATTTTGAATCATATGGCGTTTCAGTTTGGGTGTGAGTCTTTCTACACAGTGGAGGGCATCAATACATACTAATAAAGGGGAAGATATACATTCTATTCTTAGGAACATCTGTGTCCCCCGCCGTGATATTGCGGGAATATTGCTGAAGCGAGCGAATTAAAACCTCGCTCACTCACTCACTCACTCACTCACTCACTCACTCACTCACTCACTCACTCACTCACTCACTCACTCACTCACTCACTCACTCACTCACATGACTTCATTAGCACTCACTTGACTTCATTAGCAGGACCTCGTTCGAGTGAGTTATAGTTTCTAATGATTGTGGTATTTTTTGTGTGTGTGTTTTTTCTTTTGTTTGTGTTCTTTTTCTTGGGTTTTTTGTTTCTTTTTTTGTAAGCAACAATTCATATATCTATGACTTGACATTCGTCATTCTTCACCTTGTTACTTTTAAATTTCAGCTGACATTGAATAGAAACCGAGACGCATATCCATTATCCGAAGTTGCTGTGGTACAGATTTGTATATTTTCGTGTTATATATGTGGAAGCTTTTACATATTGTACAATCTTAATTTTTTACTGACCCCTTTTCAGATTTATTTTCATGAACAATACTAAATAAAGTCCATGTGAAATAATCTCTTCTCGTATTTGTAAATACTATTTAATAAAACGGACTATTGTTAAACGGTGTTTAGACTATAACATATGGGAACAGGAGAGGTCTTGTAACCCAGCGGTCAAACGTTTCGCTTCTTAAACCAGAGGTCCGGGTTCCATGCGTGAAGCGTGTGGTCCACATTGCACGTCACATTGTGTCGAAAGAACTATTACCTCAAGGAAATATGTACGGTGGCATAATAGGGCCATCTTTTTCCTTTTTTCTGTTTTTTTTCTTCAAAGTTCCAGATTGTAAGCTGAAATTTCAAGATGTTAACTAGACATTTCAAATAAAATATCTTGAAATTTCAACTTATTAACTTGAAATTTCAAGATCGCCATCTTGAAACTTCAACTTACAATCTTGAAATTTCAAGTCACTACTTGACATCTCAAGAAAAAAAACCCACATGGCCCTATTATGCCACCGTAAATATGTGCTTAGTGAGCCGAAATGAAATGGAATTATGGGTTGACTTAAATTATATTTTGCATTTATGTTTAAACTGCCTAACTACGCGCAGTTCAAACTGTGATACCCTCGTAACCCTTTTAGGGCCATTCGGTCTTTTTCTCTTTTTTCTTAATATTTCAAGATACTAAGCTGAAATTTCAAGATACTAAGTTGAAATTTAAACTTACCATCTTGAAATTTCAAGATCATTTCTTAATTTTTTATAGGATATTTATATAGCGCACATATCCACGCACTAGTGCATGCTCAAGACGCTGGTATTTTTCCCTCGATCATTGGATGTCAATATCAATGGCACATCTTATCATCAATCTCAACTCCCTGGGGATCATACAACTGTTGCTGCCACTAGGCGCACCGAAGTATTGCAGCTTTCCCATCCTTACGAGGTACCCATTCACAGCTGGGTGGACTCAGACACATAGTCACAGTACTTTGTCCAAGTTTACTGCACATTGCTGTACCCGCAACTAGGTGTTTGCATGTATTCATGTGGCCACCATCTGGTCATATACCAACGGATTCGTGGGTTCTTTTAAGTGCATAGGGTTGTGTACTGTACACTAGGGGTTGCGACAACAATGAAAGAGTCTGCACACAAAGTTGATTGCAAGGTTTTTACACCCGGTCACTTAAGCGCTCGACCCCGCACGTCATGGCCGCTGGATCACTAGCCTGGCGCCATAGCCAGCTCGCCCACCATGCCCCAACTTAATATGCATCTTGAAATTTCAACTAAGCATCTTGAAATTTCAAGAAAAAAAAAGAAAAAACACATGTCCCTAAAAGGCTACCATACTATTAACAGGAACACATATTCTTTCAGCGTATAAGGAAACAGCTGTGAAAATTATGTGAATGGACCGCTGAAACTCGAGTTGACACCAGGTGTTCACTAAAAAGGGTAAATACATTCTTCCTGACGGTAAAATTTGCCACACAATAAAAGTTTGTTTTGCCTGACAATAAAGCGATATACCAACAGCTTCAACATTTGGTATGCACAATCCATTACTTGTGAGGTATGCTCTTTCTCCGGAGATTTCTAAAAGTGTCATACCACCTTCAAAATGGTTTATGAAGATCTGAATTTGACGGGTCCCGATATGGCTGAAATAGAGAAGATGTGACTTTAATATTTAGCTCTCTCACTCACTCACTCACTCACTCTAAATTTGCTACATCAGGGTCAACCGTTTAATTCCCCATTTTGAATTTATTTGTGTCCCTGTGTATTTTTTTCAATACCTGTGGGTATTCCATGGGTTTATTGTCTGTTATTTCTATTTTCATTATTATTATTTTCATTCATTCATGCATACATACATACATACATACATACATACATACATACATACATACATACATACATACATACATACATACATACATACATACATACACTACATTTATTTATTCATTTTGTTTATTAATATTTTCAACAACAACAAAAATATTTATGTTTTTATTAAATTTTTTTATTTATCTTTTTTGTGGGGTGTGTGTGTACATTTTATGTAGTCCTATTTCTACTTTACTTTAATTCTTATGTTTTTGTTTGGTTCTGTTTTTTGGGTTGGGGGCGAGTGTCTATTTTGTTTGTATGTTATGTGGAGGTAGGATAATTGGGTTTCGTGGAGGGGCAGAAGAGGTCCTTTTCACTGGAGGCGGCTGGTATCATCACTGGTGATAAACAAAACTAGGTCGGAATATGACAATGGAAAGTGTTTTGTTGCTTTTACATACCCTCTTCTTAAGAAGCCTAACAAATCAGAACAACATAAATCACTGATATGTGACTGAAGATGGCAAATTTGGTAATTTTAGTATGTTCCGCCAACAAGTCAGTTTGCGGTGCAGGTTTGCATCTTTTAGGGTCCGTATGTGTGTGTGTGGGGGCGGGGGGCGGATAAGGATGATGATTTTTATGGAGTAGCATGAACAATAATTGCTGACCTCTCCCCTAGTACATGTGTACAAACTTGATGACCCCCCACTTCCCCAGAACAAAATGGGTGACCCCGTAAAATCATCATCACTCTCTCTCTCTCTCTCTCTCTCTCTCTCTCTCTCTCTCTCTCTCTCTCTCTCTCTCTCTCTCTCTCTCTCTCTCTCTCTCTCTCACACACACACACACACACACACACACTCCACACACTCCAGCCACACTCCAACGGTCCCTTAGGTAAGATCCACAATGGTTTGACAGCACCATGTCAGAGGTCGTTGGTTTAACACAACTGGCAAACGAGACAAGTATTACTTCATGTTTTCTTCCCAGATCTAACAGACATTCCGCGAAGTAAGTGTCAAACTAAACCAAACTAACTCACACACTCACTTGCCTTGATGAACCACTTAAATAAACTAATATACACCTGACGTGAATGCACTAACTATAACCTATGAGTCGTCCATTGTATATATCACAAAGAATATCTCACACAGAAAAGGTCATTTATAAGTTATATTTCGTAATGTTATATGTTTCAGCGGGTATTTGAATACATATAAATCATTCAGAACAAATCATGGAATACACATAAACATTCTGAGCAAACTATTGCATATATGCAGCATTCAGAGCAAACTACTGCATATAGAAATCATTTAAAACATATCATCATATACATGTATATTATACATTCCGAACAATTATTGAGAACTATAACTATTTAACGTATATATCATTCCGAACAACACATTGCATATATAAATCACTCGGAACAAAAGAATTGCATATAAATTTTTTAAACATCCAAAGACCGTATGCATATTTCGGCGACCATAATTGTAGTCGTCGTTAGTAGCAAAGGCACGTTGGACAGCCGTTGACGTATTTGAAGCCGCGGGGACACACGTCGATGGGAGGAGGAGGACACGAAGGGAGAGAGCAACAGCTACACGTTGGACAGCCGTTCACTTCCACGTATCCAAATATACACCATTGACTGCAGTTAAAGGGGGAACAACCTGGAACACACAGGAATCAGACATGGGCATGTTTGTTTGACGTCGCACTCGTACAAGCTGAAGTCATATATCATCAATCATATGTGGCAGTGTTATACCTTGTGTAACAATGCTTCATCTGTTATACATTTATCATGTAGATTTAGTAAGGGGCCGTGGTGTGCTATATTTAGACTTGTGCTAGATTTAGACAGAAAGATCTGGAATGGAATACATCCATCCATCTA